GCCCCTCCCCCTTCCTCTTTGAGACACCCACCCGCACAAAGCTTCCTCTTTCCCATCACACCCTCCCTGGGCCTTGAGGGAGCTGCTGGTCACTCATTGTCCTGCCTGTGCCAGCTCAGGCCCCAACACCCAGCCGCCCCAGGCTTGTCCCCATCTGTGAAGCCTCCCCCTCCCCCACCATTGCTCCCATGCGCCCTCTGTGGAGCCCGTTCCGTGCCTGTGTCTGGGCCTAGGAGTCAGAACTCATCCGTAATCAGAGCTGAGTGAGGCAGTCAGTGGTGTCCCTGGACACAAAAATCTCCCCATTCTTCCTCCTGCCCCCCCCCCCCCCCACACACACACACACACACATACGGCCTCAGGCAGCCTGCCTCATGCAGCACTTCCGCAGCCCTGACAGGAAATGGGCTGGAGGTTCAGCCTCCCACCATCTCAAGGCCACTTCTTGTTTCCCTATTGCCCTGTGCCAGCCCGGGGTTGTGCCCCGTGGCTCCACCCCCAAAGCTTCCCAGGGCTCCATCCCAGCAGCTCAGAGGGGACAGGATGGTGGACGTGATTGCCAAACTGACCAGGAGGCCAAGTCGGGCCCTTCGGGTGCAGGTAGGGGAACTTGGCATCGGGGGCTGAACCTGGCCACTGATGGGGATAGTAGACGGGCCTATGGAGTCAAGGGGCCAGTAGTGGACCTCCATCCCTGGCCCTGTCAGGAGCTGGGGGGAGCTGGGGTTCGGAGCAGGGAGTCTCACGGAGCTTGGGAATCCTCCCTTCTTTCCTCTTTCCTTCTCCGGGGCCTTGCCCGTCCTAGAGGGGCTGCAAAGAGGCTGCGAGGTGGTGATCAGCTGGGGGAAGAGAGGCAGGCCTGCTCCCTGCTTGTGGGTGGGCATTGAAGACAAGAGGAGCTGGGGGCTGGGAGCTCTGAGTGTGGTGAGAACTGGGCCCCTCTCAGCTCCGTCCTCTGAGGCGGGAGGACACTTCCTCTTTCCCACTAGGTGTCCCTGTGTCTCTGATGACTGTGACTGGGCCCCTGAGAGCCCTTGGTGCCCTAGACAGGCTGCGTCTGGGTCTTGTCTGGGCCTCTAGGAGTTGGGGGTGGGGATGGCAGGCCCGGCTCTAACCCGGACGGGCGAGCTCCCCCTGGAAGGCCAGGGGGCATGGAGGGGCTGGCCCACCTGGCTTCCAGGAGCTGGCCTGATCCTGGCTGAGGCTCTGCCAGAAGGGAAAGTACCTCTGTCTTAGCACTGGGGGCTCTGTAGAGTTCTAGAGTTTGAAGGGGCCTCAGGACTGCTGCAGTCCAGCTTCCTCACAGGACTGCCACATCCCTATGACGGGGATGGGGAGGGGGTGTTGGGGCTCTGCTTGCTCACCTCCAGCCCTCCAGTGAAGGCCCCTCACTACCTCCTGGGGCAGCCCCCATCCAGAGAAGGTGCCCCCTTCAAAGGGACACTGCCTTGCCCCCATTTAACCTCCGATCTGCAGTCTGGAGCCCCACAGTATGATTCTGCGTCTTCTCTTCCGAATGACAGCCCTGTCATGCTGGAGGCCTGGACTTGTACCGCCCAGGTCTCCTCTGTACCTTCGGGGAGTGTTCCTTGTGCAAAATTCCCATCAGCTCGACCAGCCTGAGGCTCCCCATGGACTCTGAGCCTAGGCCAGCAGCCTCGCCAGGTGGAGAGCCCTGCTCCAAAGAGCCTGGCTCCTTATTGGCTGGTCCACTGCCCATGCGCCCTGTCCCGGGGTTAGCTGGGGTGCACAGCAGGTGTGTCTGGCCGTTCACCTTCCTCTGCTGCCTCCATCCTGTCATCCCAAGGAGTGTCCGGTTCCTTTGCTTGAACCCTCGTTTTCAGGAAGTTCTTGCTCAAGGCTAAGCCCGGTCTCTCCTGCAGTGTCAGGTGTGTGCTTGTTGCTGAAGTCTGGTATGGAAATGACCTGTGTACTCAAGCAGGAAGTGCTTTGGGTGGATCTGCATTGGACCACCTACTGCGGGGTGACCAAGGTCAATTATAGTCACTGAGTCTTGCTCTTAAGAAACTCATGCCTTTAGGGGCAGAGAAGGGAGGTAGATGGTGGACAGCGAACCGACCACCAAGGCAGCATGCCGTCAGGCCCCAACAGAGCAGAGAGAGCAGATTAGACTTTTCTCTGGAGGGAGAAAGCCTCGCCCAGTGAAGCCTGGGAGCGGAGCTCCATGGAGGAGCAGGATTTGGGTGGGCAGGGAAAGAGCCAGGAGTTCCAGGCTGAGGGCATGGCTGGAGCAAAGGCACGGAGGTAGGAAGGTGCCTTTGTGTTTGGGGGCTGGTGTGGTTGGAATACAAGATGCCACAAAAGGGCTGTTGTGAGTGGAGAGAAAAGAGAAGGGGGTGGAGGGTGGTCTCAGCCACGCAGGAGCTGGTAGGGGAGGGAGAGGAGTGATGAACTGTTGCACCCAGCTCTCCCTGCCCCCTAAGTGCCTGGGACCTGCCACCCTGTGTACAACTGCCACACCCCCTTTGGCAGTGGTTTTGTTCTTTTGTTAGCAGTAACCATAGCTGACATGCTGTGCATTTTACATCACCCTGCTTCCCCCCGCCATTTGCACACGTGTGCAGGCTGCCAGGCCAGGGATTTGTGTCCGTTTCTTCACTGCCGAATTCCTAGTGCCTGAAACCATGCCTGGTGCAGAGTAGGAGATCTCTGTTGGACAAGTGAGTATTTTTGTAGGCACCTAAGGCTCAGGGAGAGGCCACCTTGAGCAGGACATGCTTCCCCTCTTGAGTTTACAGCTTAGTGAAGGTCTCACAGCAACAGAGAAACTTCTATGACTTAAAAAAACGGTTTAGCCCAGAGGATGTGGCTCAGTGGTTGAGCATTGACCCATGAGCCAGGAGGTCACAATTCAATTCTCAGTCAGGGCACATGCCCAAGTTGCAGGCTCAATTCCCAGTGAGTGGGGGGTGAGGGGGGGGCGCCGGGGCGTGCAGGAGGCAGCCAAGCAATGATTCTCTCATCATTGATGTTTCTCTCTCTCTCTCTCTCTCTCTCTCTCTCTTCATCTCTAAAATAAAAAATATATATTAAAAAATAAATTTTAAGTTTATTGGCCCTGGCCATGTGGCTTAGTTGGTTGGAGCGTCATCCCATACACCAAAAGGTTGCTGATTTGATTTCTGGTCCAGGCACATACCTGGGTTTCAGGGCACATAGTGGAGGCAACCAGTAAATGCTTCTCTCTCACATCATGTTTCTCTTTCCCCCTCCCTTCTTCCTCTTTCTAAACATATCCTAGGGTGAGGATTAAAAGCTTAAAGAAAAAAACTAAATAAAACAAATCCAATCCCTATAATTATACCTCTGTTTCTAAAAACACAATATTGGAATTGTGCTAAGTTTATCATCTTGAAATCTTTCCCTTGTAGCATTTTGTATTCTTCGAAAACAGTATTAATCTTGTGCTATTCTGCTGCCTGGGGTTTGAGAGGGTCGCTATCTACCCCTCTGATGGGCTGAGGGTGCAAGGCTGTGGTGGGCGCACGGGAAACCTGGGGAAAGGTCTTGAACCTGACACCTGAGCTGAGTCCTAAGGGACTAGGAGTCAGCCAGGTGAAAAGGGTGGGGAGAGGCCTGGGCCGGCTGAGAATGAGCTGAGGCCTATAAGAGACACAGCAGAGAGGGTGGGGGCGGTGCTACAGGAGCTTAAAGTTCAGGTTCAGGAGCAAGGAGTGGCAGGAAATAAGGTGGAAGACAGGCAGGCGATGGGCTGCCTCTGGTGGCCTGTTAAAGGCTTAGACTTTGCCCTGCCAGGCTGCAGGCAGCCTTGAGGCTGTTAAGCATAACCAGGCTTATCTTCTGTGACTGAATCCTCTAGCCCGCCTCACTTTCCTTTGCGGGGAGAGGGGGGTTTCACCTTTCTTTGCCCGCTCCTCCTTTTTTTAATCCTCACCCAAGAATATTTTTCCATTGATTTTTAGGGAGAGTGGGAGAGGGGAAGACAGAGAGAAATATCAGTGTGAGAGTAACACAGCGATTGGTTGCCTCCTACATGAGCCCTGACCAGGGCCTGGGGCCAGGGAGGAGCCTGCAACCAAGGTACTCACCCTTGACTAAAATTGAACCCAGGACCCTTTGGTCCACAAGCTGATGCTCTATCCACTGAGCCAAACGGGCTAGGGCTGCCCCTCCCCCTTCCCTCCCATCTGGCTGTCCTCTGTGTTTTCCATGTCTGGAGTCGATTCAGAGGCCTGCAAACCCCACATCCAGGAGCTTCTAATCCCAAATCCAGAAGCAGAACTGATCCTGGCCCCCGAGCGCTCCCGGCCAGGAGGGAGGGAGGGAGGGATGTAGAAGGCAGCAAGACCCTGGTCCCATATGACCTGAGTGGGACAGGAAAGGGGTGTGTCTCAGGCCATTTCTCTGTTTCTGCCCAACCTTTGATTCTCCTCTGTGAGTGCACAGCTGGGAGAGTTCGGTTATCAATATGTTATTAATAAACTAGAGGCCCATTGCATGAAGAGATTCATGCAATAGGCCTTCCTTCCCCTGGCTGCCGGCACCGGTTTTCCTCCGGCACCCGGGACCCAGGACTTTGGTCTGGCCACAGTGAGGCTTGGCTTCTCCCCTCCAGCTGCAGCGGAGAAGCCAAGCCTCTTCAATCTTCAATCTTCAGTCTTCACTCCACGCCTGCGTATGCAAATTAACCACCATCTTTACTGGGTTAATTTGCATAGTCACTCTGATTGGCTGGTGGGCGTAGCAGAGTGACACCAATATGCATGTTTCTCTTTTATTAGTGTAGATAATTCATGGCATTGCCCCACCTTATCTGGGGCATTTCATACGTTACAAAGCACTTTCAAGAACATTTCCTCATTCTCTCTTCACTACAGTTTCCAGAACGGCAGGGCAGATATTTCACAGCTGGGGGAACTGAGGCAGGGAGGTGCGGTGACTTGCTGCAGGTTGCCCAGGTGGCAAGTGGCCCAGTCAGGACTGTGTGACCGCAGCTGACCTGTCTCCTTCTTGCGCAGGTGGATGAAACCCCAGAGCCCGTGTACGCGAACATAGAGAGACAGCCTCTGGCCACTTCACCTGTCGCCGCCGCGGCCCCCGGACCCGGCCAGGTGTGGGAGACACACACAGACGCGGACACCGGGCGGCCCTACTACTACAACCCAGACACGGGCGTGACCACCTGGGACTCGCCCTTCGAGGCTGCGGAAGACGCCACCAGCCCGGCCCACTCCCTGTCCTCGGTGGGCAGCCACGAGAGCCTCGAGACTGAGTGGGGTCAGTACTGGGATGAGGAGAGCCGCAGGGTGTTCTTCTACAACCCGGTGACGGGCGACAAGATCTGGGAGGAGGAGGCCCAAGAGCTCGAGGAGGAGGAGGAGGAGGACGACGACAACGACAACACATTGAAGATGCAGCCAGGCCTGAGCCCAGGCAGCCCCAAGGACCAGAGGGTGAGGGGCGGGGCCTGAGCTGGGTGGGCGGGGCTGAATCCTAGGCCTCTGACCCCTCCTCCTCCCCACAATCCTGGGAACTTGGGGTGAGGGGAGGGGCCTGAGCTGGGTGGGCGGGGCTGACTCCTAGGCCTCTGACCCCTCCTCCTCCCCGCAATCCTGGGAACTTGGGGTGAGGGGCGGGGCCTGGCCAGTGGTGGGTGGGGCTGGCTCTGAGGGGCTCTGACCCAGTCTTTTACTCCCTGCAGCCTCCCACCCCTGAGACGGACTACCCTGAGGTACTGACCAGTTACCCCGAGGAGGACTATTGCTCTTCGGGCTCCTGCAGTGAGCCCGGGCCGGCCTCTCCTTTTGTCACGCCTCCCGGCTGGTCATGCCACGTGGACCCGGAGGGGCAGACACTCTACACCAACCAGTTTACCCAAGAGCAGGTAGGGGAAACAGACAGGTGGGCCCAGAGAGTCTCAGGGACACGCCTCCAGCCCTTCCTCACTAGTAGCTCCCGTTAACACTGAACTTCGGCTCCTGCTCTGGCTCCAAGCCAGCCTAGGGCGCTGTGTCACCTGCACCTGTCCCTCCAGACTCCTTGGGTCTATGTTGGGCTCTGATTAGAGGGAACCTTTTCTTCTCCTCTCTTGAGGCCACTGGCAGCCCTGACCTTCCCTCTCCCCACAGTGGGTGAAGCTGGAGGACCAACATGGGAAGCCCTACTTCTACAACCCCAAAGACTCCTCTGTTCGGTGGGATCTGCCCCAGGTAACTGACTGGGAAGGGAGAGTCCTAAGGAGAGAGGGGGGGACGGGGTTATATATGACAGTGTCTTTCTCCCCAGATCCCAATTCCTGCCCCTCGAAGCATCCTCAAATCCAGCCAAGACAGTGAGACCCCAGCCCAGGCCAGCCCTCCGGAGGAGAAGGTAAGGGAAGGGGCATGGAGGTCCTGGGGTCTGGAACTGGGCCAGGCATGTCTCCCCATAAGCCCCAGCACTAGCCTGGGCTGAATGAACCTGGATCTGGGTCATCTCAGGCCCAGAGGTGGGTCGGGTTGGGAGCTGGGAGGAAATCTCTATTGCTGCTGTGGGAGCAGGTACCCCACCATCAGCAGCAGCAAAGAGGGTTCAATGGAGGTCCAGGCCCAGCCTGTGGGGCATTGCTGGCCGAGGGGGAGACTAGCCTCGGTCCAACATGGCTCACATCCTTCACTGCCTCCTCTCTCCCCTTCTTTCTCTAAGATCAAGACCCTGGACAAGGCAGGCGTGCTCCATCGCACCAAGACAGTGGACAAGGGAAAGCGGGTCCGGTGAGAGCCCTTCTGCCCCCACAGAGGGCAGGGTGGGCCTTAGTGACGACATTCGCTGAGCACTGCCCCATGCCAGGCTCTGTTCATCCTCAGAGCAACTTTGTAAGAGGTCCTGTGAGGACACTGAGGCACGGAGAGATAGAGGGAGTCCACCTCTAGCAGTTGGGTGTCCCCAAGCTGTGATCTTTTCTTAAAAAAAAATATTTTTATTGATTTCAGAGAGGAAGGGAGAGGGGGAGAGAGAGAGAGAAAAACATCAATGATGAGAGAGAATCATTGATCGTCAGCCTCCTGCATGCCCCCCACTGGGGATCGAGCATGTGCCCTGACAAGGAATCGAACCATGACCTTCTGGTTCAGAGGTTGACGCTCAACCATCGAGCCACTCTGGCCAGGCCCCAAGCTGTGTTCTTAAGCTCTGTGTCCTGCTCTGGGGGTGGGAAGGAGGCCTCAGCCCAGGGCCAAATCCAAGCTCTGCCACCCCCCACTTCCCCATCCCCACCCAGGAAGAAGCACTGGAGTACCTCCTGGACAGTGCTGGAGGGCGGCATCCTGACATTCTTCAAGGACTCGAAGACCTCAGCTGCAGTTGGCCTGGTGAGGCCCAGGCCCCCAAGGCAGGGATCACCCCATCTGCTCCTGACTCCTGCGGGTCTTTACCTGATTTGTCTTGTCAAAGGCCAATTCTGAGACAGTGGAACATAAATGTCCAGCGAGCCAGGCCTTTGGCAAAGACAACAGCAGATTTACCCCAGGACCAGCACCTGCAGCCATCCTGGGCATGGGGAGCTGTCCTTGCGGGCCGACAGTTCCAGCCTCCTGGGCAGGCAGCTGGGGACTAGGTGCCCTCTTTTCTCCTTTCCTCTCCTGGGAGGGCAGGCAGCAAAGGACCCACCAGCCCGCAGGTTCTGTGGTTAAGAAGTTCCAGGATCTCTGGTTAAGAAGTTCCAGGATCTCTGGGTTCCAGAAACCCTTGGGCCCCCTTCTCCCAGAGCTGTGACCCCATCCTGTCACTAGAGCTGGGGGGCCTGGTGGGCTGGAGTCGGGGTCCTGTGGCAGCCTGACCAAGTTGAAGGCTCTCTCCTTCCCTCTCCCACAGAGGCAGCCTCCTAAGCTCTCTACCCCCGAGTACACAGTCGATCTGAAGGGGGCCTCTCTTGCCTGGGCCCCCAAAGACAAATCCAGCAAGAAGAATGTGCTGGAGGTGAGTTGTGGGCGTGGAGAGAAAGAAAGGGGGCTTACTGAGGCTTGGGGCTCACACTAGGCAAGTCCCAAGAAGGGGGGCCTGGGGAGAATTGGGGCTGGAATTCTCAGGGCTCAAAGCTAAAGTTGCCCCCACCTTAGGGATCCACCCACAGTATTCCTGGCATCATGGATTCTGCAGTTTCCTCTCCAGGAGCTGAGTTCCCCAGTCCTGGGCCTTGGAGGGTGATGAGAAGTAGGAGGGGTCTCTGGGGGACAAAACTCAGCCATGACTTGTGTCTCTCCAGCTGCGGAGCCATGATGGCTCAGAGTACCTAATCCAGCACGACTCGGAGGCCATCATCAGCACCTGGCACAAGGCCATTGCCCAGGGCATCCAGGAACTGGTAGGCAGAGCCTGGGGCCTCTAGGGCTGGTAGGGAGGGGATGGCCAGCCATTATGCAGGGCAGCTGTGCCCACTGTGGGTGGGGTCCTCTACTCGGACACTGGGAGCTCCATGGCACCAGTGGGTAGTGTCCCTCCCTGCAGATGCAGCCCCCCCAACCCCCGTCCCTCCCATCCTTATGGCTGGATGGCAAGAGGGCTGCTGAAGAAACAGCCTTTCTTATATGAACCAGCCTCTGAGGTCGGCCCTGCAGGAGGATTGATTCTTCAGGTAGGGGTGGAGGCACATCCTAGAGGAATGTCCATTTTCAGGGGCGCAGAAGGAAAAGAAACTATCTGAGAAATAGCCTCAGGCTGGAATGACAGGCTGAAACTAGAAGATACAATTTTTAAGGGTTGAATTGAAGAGTCTACCATTTTTAGATTCAAAATATCAATTGCATAAGTAGAGATGGGACAGTCCCCCTCTGACAGCGATTCCCTTCGCCTGGAAACAACCTGGGGCTTTTTGAAATCCCCTAGGACCCAACACTGGGTGCGGCATTTGGCTGTATTACTAGAGGCAGGAATCCAGATCCAGGGAGGTGATTCTGGTGTGGTTGTTGGCTCAGGCCCCAGCTAGAACTGCAAGCTCAGAACTGGGAGCCACATACTGAGGAATCCTGACCTAGTGGAGTGTACAGAATTGCTGAGAAAAATATGGAAAGGCGGGGGCAGGAACTGGGACATGGGTAGGGCAGAACAGGAGGACTGCCTCCCAACACCTAGAGAGCTTCATGCAGCTAAGAAAGATGAATGTTCTGAGCGCCCATGGTGGAGATGAGGGGAATTATCCTGGTTAAGGGGAGGGTGAATTTGGTGGGGTCAGGGGTTACCAGGCCAGCAAGGCCCTGCCTCTGAGGCTCTGTGGTTCTAGTCTGCAGACCTGCCCCCGGAGGAGGAAAGCGAGCACAGCAGTGTGGACTTCGGGTCCAGCGAGCGCCTGGGAAGCTGGCGGGAGGATGAGGCACGGCCTGGAGCAGGTGTGCGCGGGGATGGGGAGTGGGGGGTGTCGGTGCAGGTGGGGGTGGGGTGAAGGGAATCTTTTGGAGGGGGTGGTGACCCGGATGGGGCCTGCTGGGCCACGCCGGTGCCACGGACTGACTCGTCCTTGCATTCCCTGCAGCAGCCGCTCCTGTCCTGAGCCCTGGGGTCCAGGAGAGCGACTTGAGCAAGGTCCGGCAGAAGCTCCTCAAGTTCCTACTCAAGAGGCCCACGCTGCAGTCGCTGCGGGAGAAGGGCTACATCAAAGGTACCGGAGGGACCTGGAGAGCGGGCGCGGGTGGCGCAGGGGCGGGCGCTGACCAGCCTCTCCCCCAGACCAGGTGTTCGGCTGCGCGCTGGCCACGCTGTGTGAGCGCGAGAGGAGCCCGGTGCCGCGCTTCGTGCAGCAGTGCATCCGCGCCGTCGAGGCCCGCGGTACGTGCGCCCAGCCTGCGGGGGCTGGGGGGCGCGTTCAGGGCGCCTCACAACCTCCGGACAGGACCCCATGGGGGAGGCCCCTGGGTGGGCGCAGGGTGGAGAGAAAAGGGCCGGAAGCTCCGTAGCCCCATAGCCGGGGCTTTAGCCGCATCCCAGGGAACCCGGGCTCAGCGCCTCCCCTCCCCAGGGCTGGACATCGACGGGCTGTACCGCATCAGTGGAAACCTGGCCACCATCCAGAAGCTGCGCTACAAGGTGGACCACGGTGAGGCTCGCCCGCAGCCCTGCCCCCAGCCCGGCGGCCGGCGCGGAGGGTGCTCACCCCTCCTCCTCCCGCCCCGCTTTTCTCGCCGCAGATGAGCGCCTGGACCTGGAGGACGGACGCTGGGAGGACGTTCACGTGATCACCGGCGCCCTGAAGCTCTTCTTCCGAGAGCTGCCGGAGCCCCTCTTCCACTTCTCGCACTTCCGCCAGTTCATCGCCGCCATCAGTGAGT